AAATGTTGCACATGCGCCGCGACGACTACCACCACGCTTTAAAATGAATATAAAAAATGCAGCTCCAAAGTGTAAGTCAGTTTTTTTGGAAAATATTAAATAAATATAAAGTTCAGAGGGTGAACCATAATCAAGAAAGCATTTGACACTTATTTTATTGCTTCATACTTACTGAATTGATCTAAGTATGTCCTCGGTAGACAACACATGACCCCTTTCAAATTGAATTGCTCAGATATGCAGAACATGTAGCAGTTCCACTATGTGTGCTTCTTGCAGTCATGACTCTGAATTGCCCTTGTATACTACAAATAGATATGACATAACTATCAAAGTATTTTCCCAACGTCACACACCAAGAATCGATGATAACCCTTATGGTAACTATGATTGTTTTGAAACTAAACTACTTTATAATCTGTGCGTTTCTGGCAACAAAATTGAGTCAATTTCCTGTATGGAGACAGCATGGCATATTTGCTGGGAATGTTGATCTACTATCGTTCCTGTTTTTGTTGGTCTTTGCTATATGATGAAGCTTTGTTTGAAGTGTAGGTCTTGCAAAAAAAAAAAAAGAATGCAGCGAGCCAATTTTTTCAATTTTTTGTTTCACTAAAATATTTCACGTCACACATATTTCTCAAGTTCATCAATAGAGGTCGCTGTGTAGTGGTGAAATAAGTGACACAAAAAAGGATTTGACTCACATTTGTTGTTTGTACATTGACAAGTAATATTTTTTTCTTTAGGTCTTTTTTGTTTTCTTCCAATAAAATACTTGTTTATGTATGTGAATCTATGTACTGATAATAATACCATATTTGTTCTATTAGAAGTGCATCTGCTTGAACAGTATCCTTTCAAATGCCAGAGTCTCCTTTCACATTTTTAGCTTTCAAGGGTTTAACTGTGACTGTAGAAGTGCCTCTGGAATTTCACTAAACACATTGCAGTGCTGATAGAACAAATACTGTATGCTTGACGGAATGATCCAAAACCATCTTAAGGGTCAGTGCATGACAAATTAGATCCCTGGCGAGTCACAGAATAAAGTCAACGTAACAGCTACATCTGTTCTAAAGAAAACACTTTACATGAGTGGAAAGATGTTTATTTGTGGAAATTAACGCCCTGGCATTCCTCTTCTTAGCCAGGTCAGATCATTTTTCTTGAAGAACAAACAAACAACGTAGCATGCAATTTGTAACGATTGTAGGATCTATTTCATTATTATTTTAATCTTATCAATGTGGAGCACATTGTGACCTCAATACGAGACAGTTGACAAATATATTTTAAAAAAAATAGTCTTGAGTGGGATTTCTTATTTTAGCCTCTACCCCTTCTACCTCCCCAATTCACAATTAGTATATTCCATATTTGCTTTATTTGAAGACAATCCACCAATATCCTAAAAAACACTCATAGGTACTTTGAGATAACCCTGATTTGTTGTTGGCTCAAAGCTAGGCATATTTATTAGATATTTTGCATAATTATGTAATAAGACAAGTTTTAGAATTTCCACTGTTTTTTTTTTAAAGATTAGTTAACCCTGCCTTTTTGCCTTTGTAGACCAGTATTTCTATATTAAAGATTTATATTCAGTTTACAAATATGTATTGATAAAAATAATATTTTGCATGTTTTTTTATATTTGTATTTTTCTATAATTTCCTCATTAGTTTTTGACCAAATGAACATAAAATCTCATTGGCTATAAGTTTTAATCAAAATAGTTGTGAGTTTATTCTGTAAAAGTTGACCAAAGTTTACTCAGTAAAACACTGTATTAAAAGTTATCTCTATATTGTGACTTGCAGCTGTTACATTGAATAGTTATGGCCACACGGGAGCACTTAATAGAATTTACAAAGTTCAGTCAAGGGTATTTTGTTCTAGAGGGACAACCAAATTATTTGAAGTTTGCGAAACCAATAAATGGCCTGTGTCCTGTGATTAGGAAATTGGAACCCAATTTAATTGTAAAGTGGCCTTTCACTACATTGCAACCAACATAAAAGAACGGCAAAATTGGCGGCATTCCTTTCTCACACTTGATGAAAGCATTCCGCGCATGGACAATAATGCTGTATTGCACTGCAGTTTAAACATTCATAGAAGAACGATTAAGTCTTCTCTGTGTCGACAAACAGAATTGACGGTACATGCCAGACAGCTCACAGGGGACTGAAGGACTATAGATAAATTGTATATTTCTAATGGTGTTTATTCAACCACATTTAATACTGTTTTGTTTTGTTTGTTTACCCTGTTCAAGTTTGGCAGTGATTTCCTTTTAGTCTAGACTGGGCAATTTAGTAATGTGCTTTTTAAAGTTTGCTGTATGTTTTCTTTTTGAGACCAGACAATTTAATAGCGTGTCATTTGCTCTATTCTATATTGCCTATCGTGTACTCACATAAAGCTATCCCAAACATTTTACTGGCAAACTTGTCTTCAAATGACTTTTATTGGCTGGACTTGCATGTGCTTTCATTTTATTGGTAATCAATTATTATTATTATTACATAGACCATGAATATTGCTTGAAGGGACACAAGCTGTAACTTTTTCTATTTTTTTTCGAATCCATGTGAATATTTAGCGAAAATTACTATTTTGGTATCAAGTGAGTAAACGAAATGTAATACAATGTATGCAAATAGTCAGAAATGATTTCTGACAAAACTGTCTAGGTGATGTTTACATGTGAAGAGCTAGTTGTTTAAATGTAGGTGGTTTCATATGAAGAGACAGTTGTCTAGGTGATCTTTATATGTGCAGAGCATGAATACCCTAACATTTCCCCCATGTATATTTATTTGATACCTCAGTAACAAATTCATTTTTTTTCTCATAAAATGCAGTTAAAGTGCCTGTGAAATGGCTGCTATTTTCACGCCTAAAATTATCATAAATATTATTAATTTTTATGTTTCTAAGCATGAATTATTTTTTTAAGTGAAAAAATGTGTTTTAAACTCAGTCTACGGCAACTTTATTTTTGTGTATTTTAAAACGAGGCTCCTCATTAGCTTCTCATTTGTATACAGAAATTCCCCTTGTGACGTCAGAAGGG